AGTTGGAAATATTTGGGATGGGTGGGTGGGTCTTTCGGGCTTAAGGAGCTGCTAGACAGATAGAAGTGATCTAACGGTCTAAAAAGATCTTTTTAAGGGTTGTATATACTTTAGATCCTTAAAAGTCAACCAGCAACCCGCTGGCATAGGTTGAAATTTATCTCGAGTCGTTCTGTAAAATATGCGTTTTAAATTTGTCTGCCATTCTGAAAATTTACAGCACTTTTTATTTTTCAGTCGTGGGCCTGTATGGCGTTTTGATGACATACGGGTGTCAGTGAAGATGCGATTCAATCACCACTGCAGACCTTTTACCCGCAGCACAGTCAAGCAGGTCTTTTTTCAAACCAAGGCCATTATCGTCGCTTTTTCTATTAGGCTCATATATACAGTGTTAATGCTCTGTTTAGTTAGATGGCAGTAGAACATCATAAATGGATTATACAACACATAAAGCGTAAGAAAAGGCATATGGCACACTATATGACTATTGTTGATGAAACTCTGGGTAGGCCGTTTTAGCTGCCATTTTGAAAATTGAAAATTTGAAAATTTATCGACCTAAATAATTGTTGTAGAAAGAAATAAGTGCTAGATGTGTGTTCAGCATCAAATTTCGACCCCAAAAATGATTATTTTTTTAGATTTACCCTACCCTCCTGTAAAGGGTGGGTGTGGGTGTATGGGGGGTGGTGGGTAGGCTATGAGTTGGTGATATAGCGGTCTACCATTGATGACAGGTCCTCAGCACAGATGAAATATTCCCTTTAGTAAGATCATTTGCATAAGTGAATATTCAGAAATTTGTAGCTAACACCCCATTTCCATAGATTTTTAGATCGATCTATCCCTGTGGGGAGTCTCACTAGATTACTGTCAGCTTGGCCGGCTTAAGCGTCTGTCCCGCCTACTAAAAGCTGTTAGGGGGTAATTAACTATGGTGCCCGCTCGGCTGACTGCAATTTAGCGTGAACCCCCAGGGAGTTAGGTCGATCTAAAACTTAATCTTTAGATCGATCTAAATCTCTGGGAAAGCACCCTAAGTGATTTGAAATTTATGCATATGGTGGGCATTTTCTTGCTATCTTTGACCAGTTTTCCTTAGGTGCATAATACAAGAATATATGTAATAAAGAATTGATGTTTGTCCACGAGTTGCTGTCAGAAATATGACATATTATAATATCGTTTGTCTATATATCACACTTCTGAATTCAGTATCTCTTCCTACTTTGGAGCACAAATTGCACTCTAAATTAAATATTAGTTGAATAATACACGTTTTATGAACCCATTCGTTTTCGTGAGTTAAAAATTGATGGAAGTTCAAACGGGATTTAGAAAAATCAGCAATTTTGACGTCTGATATGAGCATTGTAAGATAACTATATCGCATTGTTATAATATGTGAAGTCTGAAGCCACGCCAGCCAAGTGGCTTTTGGTGCCATTTCCATGAAATAATAGTCGTATCTAACCATCAATATTAATCCTAGTATAAATATTTATATCGTGACTTGAACTGTGAATTATTCAACTGGGTAAATATAGCGACATCGATAAATAGTTCAAGCTGTCATATAGGTTTACTTTCAAAGCAACAAACAAGGCAGGTTTGCGTGTAACCGCAAAATCGAACTTCATACCGACTTCGATGCCACAAAGTTCCTCATTTGAATCCAAAGCAGCCGCACTATCTTGGAACTAAGACTGGGTTCCCATACCTAGGCCGATCGAACAGGATCGATCCATCTCCAAGGGGTTTCTCGATAACTTGCTTTCAGCTTAAGCGGCTTAGATGTTTGGCACACCGACTAAAGCTGCTAAACGATAGTTAATTACCCCTTACAGATTCAGCAGGCGTGCAAAACATTTAAGTTGATTGCAATTTAGCGAGAATCTCCTTGGAGATAGATCGATCCACAGTTAGTACGATAGGGTCTAGGGATGGTCTCTAAAGCTGGTTGCGTCACAGCTGCGTGACCTTTTATTCCACCGATTGACAATTTGACTGACAAATAAGGTTTAGCTATGGCCGTTATAAATAGTTTGAACAATCACGAGATTGCATGCGGTTCTCTCCTAATTCAACGGACGGACTTCCCGCTGGTTTTAATGTGCTTAATGATGAACGACCATTTACTGCGGATCAGCCACATCTTCATTACTGTCTACTGTCAATCTTATAAGAAGGGACTGCTTTATAAATTGATATACGAAAAACAGCGGTAAGAAGAGAGGAGTAATTAAGTTGTACAAAATGAAGCTACTGTACCAGTAGTGACAGTAGCTCAGTGTGACATATGATTTTGAAAAGAAAGAACGGCGACACATCTACCGCCTAAGTGATTTACTGAGTATTACTTCAGCTGGGATAAAACCAAAAATACAGAATCCCTGTGTCCCGATTCCTCGCGGTAATGTAGCTATCGATAATCATAATTATCATAAAATAATTATCAGAAGGTCTGAATAATCATGCGGAATTGTCTTCACCAAATTTGTCCCCCCAAAACGAAATAAATAACGCATGGGCCTTACTGCCATACCATATCTTTACAATAGTCATATACAATTTATTAAAATGATTCCCCAGTTGTACCATATTTATCAGGACTAAAAACAATTATTGTTTTTTACATTTTCTTAAAATTCTGTTTTGAAAAAAAAAGGCATAAGGAATATAAGAAAATGTTAACATTAATTGACTAGCCGTTTCCACTCTATAGGTAAATGACAAATGTTACCTGAACTAAAATGAAGCACCTTGCCAAACATATAAACTGCAAATTAAAGGCTACAAAACGATGCATCTTTGATATTTGGAGTGCTACACATGCCACAACTGAAGGCCACCATGAGTAGCCCCCCAAAAAATTATAAATAAAAATAAAATAAAATTAACTTTGCATTTCAAAGTTTAATGACAGATGACCAAAAACTTCAATTCAAACCAACTTCGTTTTCATCCTCCGTTTACTTCAGACTTCCTGCCAGCGTCTATGAAGTTTAATATCCCACAATACATAGTCATCAGAGTTAGCCAAAACGAACATAAATCTCTGTAAAAAATATTCCGTTTATTTTTGTTCTCCAGGCTTTTTGATAGGTGGCACCAATTCGTACTTGCTAGTAACACCCCCACTTTGAAAAATATGTGTAAAAAGCTGCTTGGCGCTCCTTTTCCGACTTAGAATAAGGTAGCGCACTTCCCCTTGGCCATGGGAGTGACTTTTCAGTCCTAGCTTTTGAGACTCTTTGTGAATGATGGCTCTCTCCTCCTTGGTGAATTCTGGACTGAACACCAGGTCATTCTGATTGTCTGATTTCACATACTTATTGATGATTTCACGGACTTTGGTGCAGAAATCCTTGGTAATCCCCTTGTCTGCCGCCATTCCCAGCCCCTCCCTGTTGATCACTGTGCTCAGTGTGACCGGATCGGCCCTCCCCTGCCCCCCTCTCCCCACACCCCCACCCGTCCACCCCATCTTCCTTAACAACTGGTTACCAATATTGTCCTCTTGGATCTTATCACTTGCCATGGCCTGGTCACCCAAGAGTTCCTCTTTGGTCAATCCAGGGTCATCACAATCCTCGTTCTGCTTGACCAGGATGGTCCAGTAGTCTTCCTTTAAACTGTCCAAGGTTTTCTGGGCAGCTTGCAGCTTGACTTTGTTCTTGCTGATGTCCATGCAGTCAGCCATCAGCTCGCCACCAAGAAATAACCGACAACGCACTCTTCCAGCAGGGTCCTCCTGGAAGTTATATTCCAACGGGACTTTGCTGAAGTCAGCACTCTGTCTTAAAATCATCACAGGGTTGACTGAATTGGACTTATCTTTTGGTTCGAGAATAAAAAACTCTAGCTCGGGGTTGGAAAACTGACTAGCTGATCTTTTCCTGGACCTCATACCCATGGCGGCGACACCTGGCGACTGACCTAGTTTCACCATTCCTGAATTTGACTGTTTTTGGTGGAATGGCCGGTCAGATGTTTTCAACTCTTGTCTTTCGGGGTTTAGTCTATCTACATGTAAATATCTACAGTTCAGTGCCTTCAGAGCATTTTCAAATGCATCATGCTTGGCTGCTTTCTTTGAAGAGGCAACACCTTTAGCAACTGACACAAAATCTATCAGCACTTCACATTGAAACCCATGAGTGGCGTCACATGTGAAGTTGCAAGAAGAAGTCATTCTCGTCTTGTCCATAGCCATGTGCAGAGTCTCAATGGCATTTTTCTTTAATTTCATGAACTCTTTCACAAAATTTGACAGTTCTACAAATTTTTGATCCGTTTCTGAAGCACCCTGTGTTACACATGGTAAAGGAGTCTGTTTGGCTTTTCTTGATCCTGATGGAATGTCAAGCTCCTCTTGCTTATGGTCTACACTGGGGCCCCCTAGGAATTAATTCAAAGTCTGAATAAATTAGGCAAGCCACAATAAATGAGTATCATTGCCTATGGCAGATTTTCACTCATCAATGTTTTATTTTACTATTGTAAATATTACTTTACCCACTCAAAACAAAAACTAGGGGTGCTGAGATACCACGCACAAAAACCTTGACCCTCCTTAAAAGTTGAACAATATATTGCTAATAGCTGATAAAATAGCTAATTATTTGAAAACAAACATTAACATGCATATCACAACAAAATATGGTTCACAACTAGTATATAAATGGGTACAGACTGCACAAATGTACACTTCATTTAAGATGAAAATTGGTGCTTCTGCAGTTTTCTCACCAAACCCATATAAGAATTTTTACAAGAAACTTTTCAAGCTCTTTGATCAATGGAATTACAGCAAATTTTCACCCTTGAAATGACCCCAGCCCCATCATAATTGAACAGGCTTCAGGGATCTCACAAAAAATTAGTAAGTAAATTGCAGGTGGGAGTATTGCAAAAGTACCAAAATTTGTAACACATAAAGCAACCAAAATCCGATAACGTACAATACCTAAACTGGAGGTGTGACTCTGCTGACCCTCGGTCACTGGCTGGTCACCAGGTAGAGTGGACTTGACAAACTTCACCCCAGTGAGCTCCTGTCTTTGTGCCCTGTGCTCTGACAGCTCCGTCTGCATGGCCTCGGACAGAGCTTTTACCTAGGAGAAAAAAAAAACAAGAGCTGGATAAAAAATGTTACTTTCATGCTCATGTATCAACCAATTTTTGTTATATGAATTAATGTTTCAGCTACATGTGGCCAACTGTGAAAAAATTTATTATCTTTGGTTAAAAAATGGCAAAATATCTGAGTGCTAAGTCTGCATGGCTTTGTACAGAGTTTTTACCTAGGAGAAAATAAAAGCTGGATAACACATGATCAGGTTACAACCCATCCAAGCCATATCAATGAATGTTTCAGTTACAATATCAACAGGTTCATGTAGCAGACATGAGCCTAGGTTAAAAAAAATAACTGAACATTCATCATGGGACCCAACACCTAACCTTGATGAATCTCAGGAACCATCAAATTAAATTAAAAAATGTGGAATTCCGATTTTCCACGAAAAAAGCTCATGTCTTATGTAACACGTGACAAACTGTAGAACAATTTTCTGTGAATAAATTTTTCAGAAACATTCTACCTCCGCCTGAACTTGAGCCGGGTAGCGGCAGCCCATACATTCTATATTGATGAAGCACTGAGACAGACACAGCAGCCTCTCAAGGGGATACTTTCCCCAGTGACATTCCAGGAACCGCCGCCGCATTTCCCACTCTTTGTTGTTCTCGTACTCTTTCTTGTACTGGTCCAAGTCTACCATTTCTTGGTCGCCATCTTGGTCCGACATGATTGTAGTTGAAAGCGTGCTCTTCTGTTTAGCTAGAAATAAAACTATGTCCTTTAAATCTTCGCTAGTTCCTAGAACTGGCTTTTATTGGTTAACTTTAATGTACGTGGGCGGTTTTACCTACAATGGAAGTTACAAATTGCGTTCTCAAAATATAATATTCATCTTCAGTGTTCTGCAAAAAATGCAATTTATCTATACCTGTCCACGTAACTTAATACCTTAACATCTGGTATAATTGGTTGCTTTGCTAAAATCCATACACTCTTCCGTTATACCCAAACTACGTTCATTTTTTATCGCATTTCTTACCTTATCCACGTTTTACCAGTGGCCACCATATTGAAAGTACCCGGATATTGTAAATTTCAAGACGAGACGACGTAGAGGTGTAAAATGTGTGTACATTAAACCACTTATTTAACCCATGTCTACCATACCTTCCTTTCGATTTTTTAAATTTTGCACATTCTAGCACAGTTGCCTTTTGTCTTCCATCCGTGATAAATATAATTAAATACATTACTTCAACATTCAAAGACTACATGAGAACAGCAAATTTTTAACCAAACTGAACTGCCAGGTATTTTTTTTTAATGGAAGTAATGTAAGTCACTGTAAAATGAAGTAAAAGTAAATGGTGTTTACTACCTGTAAATATGCAATGGTGTAAAACGGATGCACATTTTATTTTATTTATTTAAAAAAAAAACTGTCTGGATGGCCAGTCCCTGAGAACATTACATTTTCCTGCACACATTTTCAAAAGGAAATACATGTGCATGTTAGCAATGAGTGCTTTTATTTTTGGGGTTTGTTATTCGACATGAAATACCCCTTCTCTCTTCCCAGCCTTAGTTATTCTTCTTTTTTTTTCAAAAAATTTGGAAATTTAAATTATCAAATGATGACAAATGTGAGAAGATCATCATAATATTTGGACATGACATGAATATCTTAACCGTTTATTGATCTTTTTAAGATTTAAATACAAAACAAGTAATGTTCATGTGTATACAACAAAGTTTACAGTGGTCGCTGAAATAATGTTGACTTGATGTTTCAAACTTTGTACAGTGTGTTTCTATATTGTTGCATCTGCTGGTCGAGTATATTGAAGTGCTGCAGTATACATCCAGCGTGCTTCCATGGCTGACTGGAGTCAAGTACTCCTATTATGCATTACTTGAACTGGTGACCTTATTCAATCAATGACAATAAATTTCTGCATTTTATGTAAAACAAACATAAAATAAATTTGAAAAAAATCTTGTGCACACAAATAGCACGTATCGCATATAGGCTTAATAATTGTGAATGAACTATTACTCTTTAAAATAATAATAGAATCTAGAGCTATCTTCAAACAGTACTTGAAATTTATTGCACTAAAAAACTTTACCCTTGAGACAATTCAAAAGTTGGAATTGTGCGTTGATAATAGAAAAGTGGATTGGATTTGGGGAAAATTACATCAACTAACAAGGGATCCAGTAAAAATAAAAAATAAGAAAATGATTTACATTTCTATTTGAACCAATTCTGGATCATTTTCAAGACATGAAATACTACACCAATAAAATGCAGTTTAAATATGTATTAAAGTAATATGTATGGAGGGGGGGGGGGTAATGAGAAAACATTATAACATGGTTTTCCTCTGAAACGAAAAGAAAATGTTGTAGAATTTTTAGCATAAAACGTTGAAACTTGGTAGTATGTAAAAAGATATCTGCAATGCACATAATTTTTGCTGATGGAGAAGAGATGAAATGTGACCATAGTATGGGAAATTGTAATAAGATGAGAAAATAAGAATAATTATGGGAAAGTTATCACTTCAGCTCAAATAATTTAAAAGCTATTTACAAACAATATATTTTTAGTTTGATTCACCTCAAGTTATAAGTTTAATAATTCCGAATGGAAAACAATATATATAACATCAATATGTTTAATTGTATTGAAGTTTGCAATTTGTTATTTCAGCAATGAAGTATTGAAATGTCTTTTTCAATCTCTATAAAATTTACCTCTTCAAGAACATAACAGAAACCTTGACATTCTGCAATATTCACTTCTTAAGATTCTTATTCAATTGTGTCCTTTCCTGCTTTTCGTTGCACTTTTTTACTTTTCTAGATGATACCCGCTGAAACATTTTGCCTATAAGCACACATTGCTTTAGGAAAATAACAAACTGATCAATTTTCTTCCATTTTCTCTTCCTTGGATTCTTCACACTCCTTTTCAGACATAGGTGCAGAGGCTCCCTCTGGTGATCTTTCTTGCTCCATGTCGTCTTCATGCGCAGACTGTTCTTGTACTACTTGCTCCGTGTCACTCTCACTTCCTTCTCCAGCCGCCCCTGCCTCCTCACTTATCTGCGCTAATGGAGGTGTAGATGGCGCTGCAGCTGGGGTCAAAGGTCGCTGGTGGGTCGTCTGCATGGTGACAGTGGGACTGGGAGGTCGCGGGGCTGGGGTGGGCGGGGCCGAGTGACTAGGAACTTGGGGAGTGCTCTGACAGCAGACGACTAGAGGACCACCGTTATAGATGCCATGAAGGAAATGCCACATCTCCTCTGATAGTTGACCGTATGAAGATGACTGCTTGACAATATACTGGTCATTGCGCTTGAAACAGATCTTGCTGTTGTCTATTTGTCCTGGTGGTTCTGGAAAAAAATTTGTTTTACTGTACAACATCTTTATTTACCGTATAGGGACTTTTGAGAATTGCGTCATCCTACATCAAAGAGCTTGCAAAGAGGTTAAGAGATCACTATTTTAAAAAAAATTCTAGCATTTATATAAATGAATGGTAAAAAATCATAATGTCACTTGTGTGTTTCTAAACTGAAATGGAGCCCTCTTCTTATACTTAATCAAAAGATGGTGCTTTTGCAATCTAAAGGCATCAGAAGATCAGATAGGCAAATTGCAAAAAATTAAAATCTTTAAAAAATATCAAATCTTACCACTTTCCATTCCCTTTACAAAATTCTCCCACTGTTTAAACCACTGCATACTTATAGCATAGATTACACACGGGTTGTCCTCTTCTTTGAAGTCTTCATGGAGCTGGAGGAAAAAGTATTCATCATTTTTTAAAATATTGTCCATTTTATACTTAAAACGGCAGTGAAGCAGAAAATAGTATTCAAATGATCATTAATAAAAAAGATTATATCACTTCTCCCATGGCCACATCCGATTAAAAAAATTAATTAAATTTTGCCAAAAATGTTTTTGACACCTAACCTGTTGGAAACCTTCTCCATTTCCACCAACATTTAATGAACACTAAGCATGTGGCATAGTAGTCTTTGTCTTCTCAGTTTTAAAACTAGTCTTTACCTTGACAAAAGTATCTAGCTCATAGCTCTGTCTTCTCCTCAGTTTTAAAACTAGTCTTTACCTTGACAAAAGTGTCTAGCTCATAGCTCTGTCTTCTCCTCAGTTTTACCTGTTCTGCCTGGCATGTTACACACAAATAAAGATGATTACACACTGGACCTCCTCCGTACCTGCAGGATGTTGTAAAACAAATTAAAATATTTCTAATACTAGTAAGCTATTTTAATAATGATTATCATCAGTTTTGTAATAACATGTTTTCCCTATGTCTCATAAAATTCCATTTTTTTTGTTATATCTATAATTGTTGTAAACTGACCACTTAAATCAAAAACTAGGTTGTGATAACTTAAAAATTCAGCCACATCTTTCAACATTCTTCTGCTAAATAATTAACTGTAAAAATAAATTATCTCTACAAAATATTTTGAATTATGTCACCTGAGACACCTAGTCTGTTATAATATACCAGCTGTAGCTTACCTTTCATGAAGACAGTCCCACAGTGTTTGCGACAGTTCTACCACCATCTCCAGTGTTAAACTATCTATATTATTATATATATCAGCTGTAGCTTACCTTTCATGAAGACAGTCCCACAGTGTCTGAGGAAGTTCCGCCACCATCTCTAGTACGTTTTGAAACTTGGTGGGAGGCACAGCTGTAACAAAAGATAATATAACAATATGAACATATCACTTCACTTTCATGATCATACTTATCTTTTTAATCAGTTTCATAAATAAATGTTTTGTTGTTGTGGCTAGCAAAGACAAAAGGTAAAGTACATTTTATTAGCTTCTTCTCGAATTAAGTGAATTATCAATGCTTTATTTACCTGTGAAAGTAGAAGGAAAAACTTGGACTAAACTTGTAGTTAAGCGCACATGCATGCACACACACACACACACACACACACACACACACACACACACACACACACACACACACACACAAGAAATTCTAAAGATCCATATGTACAAATTGAAGTCAGTGATTCAAATCCAAGAACTCTTTTTCTGCATTGTGTTGTAATAAAACTTACCTCCATGTTTGCAAAGAAAATCCTCATTAGTAATAGGACCAGGCTCTGCAAACGTGTTGAACCTGTTAATCCACTGTTTGGACACATAGAAGTTCAATAAACTAGGCTGAAATAATTGTACCAAGGGTTATTACTTATTACAAATTTCAATCACTTCACTTATGCAAAAACAAACAAACAAACAGAAACAAAAAGTTAAAGATTTTACAACCTACTGCTAATTCAAATCAAAAACAGGTCCCTGTTCAGACTTTTTAAATTATTTTTTATAGAGTTTATTGATAAAGCCTTACTTCAGGAAATACAATTAATGATAAAAATAAATAAATAAAAAAAAATTCAATGTGTCCTGACTACCTCCTTGCTCTCCACCAGCTCCATGGCCTTCTGTCTCTGTACCATTATGTCATCATTCTTTTTCCTAAAAAATACAAATGCAATAATACAAATAAATCCTTGTACTACATTTAATGGACAAAATATTTAAAACTTCAAAAAATGGGCTTTAATTTTTAAAGTCATGAGACCAGTCAAAACCACCTTAACTTGTTGGGATTAACTTACAAAATTAAACATGATTAATTAGTAAACAAATGTACAAGCTTTAAGAAATAAAATAAATATCTTAATAAAATAATAAAACAATCAATGATCAATTTTCAAAGACTAAGGAAAGAAAATAGTGGACACTTCAAGCACCAAAATCTTGTTCCTCCTACCTGTAAAAGAGTACATATGCCTCACAGTTCTGGACAGTCTGGACATCCACCTCGGTCACATACTGGTCATCATACTCGTACCACTTGTCATCGTAGTGGTTCAGGGCATACGCCGTGTAGTGACCGCCCCCTGCAGTGCCATGGTGACATATCACAGCCGTCAGGTCGTACAGTCGCATGGCTGACTTACAATCTGGAGACACATATCATTAACATATAATTACCATATAATTAACATATAATTAAGAATTCAGTGACCACAAGGCAATGACTCAATGGAAAACTAGGTATAAGGTCACTGGTGTAAAATGAGTTACTTTGTGATGAGATATCACTGCTTGACATACCAGATGATATAATCTAAATACACTAACTTCTCCCTACTTTTCAAATCCATTATAGTATGCTAGGTCTTACTGATGAAAGCATATGAGAGAGAGCAGAAATTGAGAGAGGGGACTAAAAATTCACTTTGTGATTGTCATCACATTGCTCCTCATACCTTTGTGTAGATACGGCCTCATATCAAGACCCTCTATGGGAAATGACACATAGCTGCTGATCTTAGCGGAGAACATAAACTCATGTCGGAACCTCTTTAGATGTATGCATAATATCTGGAACAGAGAAAAACAACCACTTGTTAAATCTATATTCAATCAACTATTTTGATTTTATCAGATAAAATGTACAATACTATGATAATAACAAAATTTTTGGTTTATTCTTAAAATTGTGACATAGAAAATGTCAAGTCTGACACATTTTTCTGGCAAATTATTATCTTCTGTAAGATTCAGTTAAAAACAGACCTCTGGTAGTTGTAAGACTTTGGTGTTCTTGATTCCATTTCTCAGTCTGAAATTAAATTAGGAAAGACTTGAAACACACATTTTATAACATGATTAATTCAAAATTCAACACAATTGCACTGGATTAACTTCACAAAGTAACTTCTTGGTGATCTTTGGGATGAATGAAGAAACCGCAACCAAACAGATACTTATGTTTCAAGAAGATTCAGTCTTGCTAGAAAAGCATTAACATCCTTCATTTCTATCTTTATACAGGTTCAACAATTTAACTTGTGGGTGGCGCAGTGGATTGGGATGGGGGGAGGGGGGATCACAGGTCAGCCATAGTTTAAAAAAACTTACTTTTTACACTTCTCACAGCTGTACATATTATCTCCCTTTAGTTCATCAGCTGAGAAAAAAGCTGCCAAACAGTCTGTAAGTGTGACCATTGGGCCCCAGAAAATACTGCAAAGAATGAAATTATTTTATATCAAGTAATAATCATTTTTGCTGACTATTAAATAACCTATGTTATAAAATTTAATAAAAGCAGCATCAATTATTCAAATGTCTCTGACTTTAACTTAGTAGATTGTTTAAAGCCTTTTTTATAATAATCTAACAAATCCTTATCTTTCTATGCATATAGAATTCTCTTCTGGTTCTATGTTTACCATAAATTTTACCAACTTCATTGCTTATTCTCTTCAACCTAACAGCTCCTTTCAATCATCAGTAATAATCACCAAAACTATAATTTTTCCACAAATACTATTCTATCTCTTAAAAGCAACAGGTTTCTGTGACCAGGTTTTTGAGGAGAAAAGGCCACATGGCAATCATTCCTGTTAGTAAGAACACCTATGCTGAGAAACTTAACAACCACCAGACCTATTAATTCCTATGTTACATCTTACTTTCTCATCCAGCCAAACATCCAGGTAATCCAGCCCTGCCTAGCCGCGGTGTCGCCACAGGCTCCGGCCATCTTGGACTGTGCACCCTGGGAATGAATGACGCTGAGGTACTCTCTACTGGGGATGGGGAGTGACAGGTCCTGGAATGTCTCTTTGGTTGTCGATACCTGCAATATGCCAAAATTTGCGCAAATCAGCATTAGTCACTAATACTTAAAAGATTGTTTTAAAATAGTAAATGGATGAAAATCACATGATGATAAGTCAATAATTTCTTAAGCTTATTAACTGTCTAGGGTATAATAAAAAGGTGAAAAGATATGGTTTTATTTAGGTCTTGATAGATAAATTAAATCTAGTAACTGTAAAGTCTGATCTGGTTGCTTGGTCTCAAAAAGGGTTCTAGTCTTCAAGCCTAACTTACGGATTCACATGTTAAACATTGCACTGAGCTGAGGATCTTTCCATCAAAGATATCTGTTATGACACTTTTAAACTGCACTGCTTTCTTCTTGGCTGAAAACAAAGGCTTTATTCCCATAGATTTTAGATCGATCTATCCCCGCGGGGAGTCTCACTAGATTACTTTCAGATAATCCGACTTAAATGTCCGTCCCACCTACTACAAGCTGTAAGGGGATAATTAACTTTCGTGTCCACCCGGCTGACAGCTATTTAGCGTGAACCCCCAGGGCGTTAGGTCGATCTAAAGTAGGTCGATCTAATCTATGGAAATGGGGTGAAAGAAACAAATAGACAAATATGAATAAATATTACCATTATTACGAGGTAAAATAATTATCAAAATATCACGTACTATTATTAGTAATTTCTTTTTCAGAAATAAAACTAAGTCTGATTGTATCTTCATCATTCAGTTAGCTTTGAAATTATTTCAACATCTCTTTAAATCATCACTGGCTAAACAAGCCACTTTTCTCCACTAACACAATCCACACAATCTCCTCCAGCATCCTACCTGACTGGCTGATGGGTCTGTCCCCCTGTGACCTGTGGCCAGTCTTAGGGCTACTGTGTCCACTGACCACACTTCTGTGTCCAGTCTCCACCTCGACGTCCGCATCATTCAACGCGTCCTTAAACTCTGCGTTTTCCTCCGTTTTCTCACTCTGCTGCCTGTTCCGCGTCATACTTCTCGTGACCCTCCTGTCCGCGGTGCTCTGTTGTTGGTCCTCTAAATGCTCCATCTGGTCGTTGTCTGGGATATCACAGTGTATGGATTCTGTGCCCATACCAGTGCTGTTGTTACTGGAGAAGTTGGCCTCCATTGAACTCTGCTCACTGCTCATGCCCGAGTCACATGTCTCATAGTCTTCTTCTGATTGGCTGGTAGAATCTGGGGCCTCAACTTCCAGGGGTGCCGGTGGCTCCTGATTGGCTGGGCTGGGTTTTCCCTTTTCATCTTGCTCCTCCTCATCTTCATCCTCCTCGTCTACCATCACTGGCTGTTTTAATTCCTCATGAAGCTGGTCCATGAAACAACGCAGGAATTCTTGCGTGTCCTGTTAGAACCAATATAATATAATAATTAATATAATAATGAAAATAATGAGTAATTTGACATACAATTTAAATAAAACAGTGAATTTCCTTGTACCAAAATTATGAGGCTGTATGAGAAGTTTCGTCAGTATGAAAGATAACATAATACAAATCACAATTGTAAGTACTTCACAAACTGGGTATTCATTAAAAAAGTTTAATCCTTTGAAACACTCATGTAACTAAACTATTTTTAAAGATTGTCAAATACTTAAGCTTACTTGCTGTGAGTATCCTCTGAACATTGGGTGGATAACTTTGATACCTTGTACGATACCTGATGGTACAACATAGGATGGTCTGAAAGTAAAACACTTCATAGTGACAAACATATTACCTTACCTTGAGCTTATGCAAAACTAGAACAGATGTAAGAAGGGTCTGGTTGTTCTTATTCGTCCTTTCCTTTTCTTGGTTTACACAATCAAAATTTAAAAAAATTCAGCAACATACATAAATGTTTGATTCAAATCAGTGTCTTGAATCAGAAGAAATGATAAATCAAAAACAACAAAGTAATTTTTTACATCACCACCTCACCTTTTTTTATGCCAGATCTCTTGGACTAGCTTGAGGTAACTTCTAGAGAGCATGGGTTTTCTGTCGCTGCGGACATAGGAGCTGCAGTCCAAGAAGTACCGAGTCAACGGCTGACTGGAAGTGTTCATAGCAAAATACTAATTGAATACTTATTTCTCAGAATAGTTATTGAAAGATTATTTTGGGAATTGGACAAGTAAAAAAAAAAAAAAAAACTAGTAGTCAAATTAATTTGTACAAAAGTAACTAAATAAAAAGAAATAAATAAACAATAAAACAAACAAAACAATGATTTTTTTTAAAGTTTCAATGTACAAAATCAATGAAAATATTATATGAGCCTGGTAATGTTAAAAATATACACTTGGCATTCGCCTATAAAAGTATCTATTTACCAGTTGGACAATGCTTGCACGGCTGCATTGAGATAACATGTATTTACTTACCAGTTGGACAATGCTTGTATGGCTGCATTGAGATAACATGTATTTCCAAGGTTTTGAAGCCCCACAAGACCTGGAACAAATAACTAACTAAATATTTTATGTCTTCCACCAAAATTACTTGAAAACAGCAATAAAAGTCTACATGTCAATCTTATAAGGATACTCAATTTCAAAACACAACCTTGTGAGAATAAAGATATTGGAAACACCCTTCAAAGCTGCATTTCAGACACATTTTCAACCATAGGACAATATTAGCATCAGGAAACAGGAAATATTGAAATAAATAAATACAAAAAAGGATATTCACTGTATTTGATAAAGTAAAACAAACTTCAGCAACCTTCTACATTCTCTTTTTCATAAGAAGNCAATGATTTTTTAAAAAGTTTCAATGTACAAAATCAATGAAAATATTATATGAGCCTGGTAATGTTAAAAATATACACTTGGCATTCGCCTATAGAAGTATCTATTTACCAGTTGGACAATGCTTGCACGGCTGCATTGAGATAACATGTATTTACTTACCAGTTGGACAATGCTTGTATGGCTGCATTGAGATAACATGTATTTCCAAGGTTTTGAAGCCCCACAAGACCTGGAACAAATAACTAACTAAATATTTTATGTCTTCCACCAAAATTACTTGAAAACAGCAATAAAAGTCTACATGTCAATCTTATAAGGATACTCAATTTCAAAACACAACCTTGTGAGAATAAAGATATTGGAAACACCCTTCAAAGCTGCATTTCAGACACATTTTCAACCATAGGACAATATTAGCATCAGGAAACAGGAAATATTGAAATAAATAAATACAAAAAAGGATATTCACTGTATTTGATAAAGTAAAACAAACTTCAGCAACCTTCTACATTCTCTTCTTCATAAGAAGGACATCTTCCAAAAGCAGAAACAGTCCCATCTCATCTAAAATCACACCTTAATGTTTGGGTGCGATCCACTCACAGTGAGCAAGTGACTTGGCGAGTGGATCAAACCTAACATACAGTGTGATTATAAATTGCTTCATTTATATGTACTCTATGTAACTGTGCTGCTGTCTATTTATTTATTTACCAATTTATTTAATTGATGTAATTAGATGTAAAGTCCATGATCTGATGATTGTACCTTATATGTGAAGGTGTTTATCAATAAAGAATTCAATTCATTCCCTCATTTACCAGAAAGATTCAAAATTAATGTGTTACATTGGTGTATAGAAGCCTACCCCTGGGCTTGACAACTTCATCGTCCTCCGAGTCCTCAGAGTCAGTGGTGCGTGAGTAGTGGTGAGGGGTTGGCGGCTGCGACACAGGGTCTGGGGTGAATGTCCCATGGGGAGACAGAATACTCCTTTCTCGCATGCTGGGGAGATGAGATAATAATGTTGCTACTGGTGAGATATTTCTTTTTTTCCAAAATATTTTTTGAAACAAATTAATGAAAATTGCTAAAAACAATAATAAGTATTTAACATTTTACAAGCAGCAAAAGNTACAGGGTCCGGGGTGAATGTCCCATGGGGAGACAGAATACTCCTTTCTCGCATGCTGGGGGGAAGAGATAATAATGTTGCTACTGGTGAGATATTTCTTTTTTTCCAAAATATTTTTTGAAACAAATTAATGAAAATTGCTAAAAACAATAATAAGTATTTAACATTTTACAAGCAGCAAAAGCAAACTGAACAAGACCACAAACACATTAAATGTGAAGCCTTTAATCCCCCTTCTCGCCTCCAGAGTTAATTATTTGAGTCTTACACAAAGGCAGGTTTATTTCCATCCTTGTAGACCTCACACTCACACCTATAACACCATATTCTCATGGTTTTCAGGTTGATGGCCAGGCAGTGTTTGTCTACCTGAAATAACACAGGATACATGGGACATGAGGCTTAATAAATTAATTTTTAAAAACATGTATTTTAGCCTTTTTTAGGGCTATTTAAACATTAAAATCTGATTTGATTTGAAAAATTACGTTTAATGCTATCATACGTTACACCTAAATTCATTACATGCAGAAATGTCATAAATGTGAGAATTTGAAAAAAATTAGACTTAATAAATTAAATCAAATGTAATACTAAAAATTCCAGATAAATCTTTGTTGACAAAAAGTGTGAAGATATATCATTAAGTTTTTAAATATCTTTTAACTGATCTTATGATTTAGTCCTAAGATGGAAGACTTCAGTCTGACATTACAAGTGGAACATTTCCCGTTCTTGAGATAATGAGAAAATTAAAACTAATACAGAATCTTAACTTAAAGGATGCAGACGAAATTCTTTTGTAGCCCAAAAGAGTCCTTTACGACATCTTTTAGGATGTATGACAAAATTCCTTTGGAGCCCCATAGAGTCCTATAGACATCCTATATGAAAATTGGGTGAGAGCAATTCCCTCTGTATTCGCAGTAGACTGTCTGCTAGGGTAGGGAGAAGCAATTTCTGTCAATGAGATTGAACTAAATGTATTAATCTAAAAAATCAACAACTTTCTATTGAAGTACCCTACCTCTGCGTGCGACGAGCTGTGGTCCACTCCAGACTCTCCGCAGCCTACGAACATACACCGCGAATGTAGACACAGCCACAGGTTAGGACCACCTGCATTACACGAGTCACAGATATCTGCCCTCTGAAATCACAAACCAAGTGTCAATGACATGGAGTTCTTTGAAATCACAAACCAAGTGTCAATGCCATACCCTGAGTGTCAGGGCACTGTAAAGCCAGCTTGCTCACTATACCTTTTCATGTGTTGGCTTTACTGTATTCTATATGGATTCTATATGAAACCAAGATTGAGCTGGCAATACAGAAATCTAGAACCTAGGGTACAAAGATATCTATTCTGTGAAATCACAAACCAAGTGTTATTGACATCAGATTCTCTGTTCACAACCGAAGTGTCACTGACACAGAATTCTCTGAAATCACAAAATAGGTGACAAAGACACAGAAATCTATGAAAACACAAACCAAGTTTTGTAGACATGGAATTCTCTTATTATCATGTCCAAAAATAAAAGCATGTCAATATTTGTTAAAAAACTCTGACACTCACCTTGAAACTGGTTTAAAGCAAAGAAAACTGAAATGCTACTGTATATGTCAAGCCTTCAGAACGATATAAAGAAAGAGGCATACTGCCAAATGAAATGACACCATTCAAAACTTACCTAGATTGGGTGAAGAACTAATCTCTTTAACACCTTTTAAAAACATCAAAATAATGCACCTATCAAATGAATTCCAGCAGAGATATTTTCAAACGCTAGACAAAACCCTGCGAGGACACACTAATAAGTCATTCAGTCTTGTTGCTATCAAGATGATGGTTCCATAAATTTTTCCAAGAATTCACTGTCACAAGATAATTAACTGGAAGGACACAATATGGTGATTACGGCACCTGACATTTTCCTCTGAATTTGAAATTAACACCTGCTGGAGTTCAGCCAAGCTGCAGGCATATTTGCCATTATTGCTATGAAATGATTGTGGTAAAATATTTCATTTTCACTTGAGACTTTAACCACTATCAAAATGAATGAAACCTGAAGCCCACTTATCTATAGATAGATCCAGTACAGTAACCGCAGCATTTGCAAGGATTTTATATCATATGCTGGATAAAAAAAATTATCAAATAATTTTCTTTTTGGACATGAAGTGATTTTTTTTTCAGTTCTTCTGCCTTCTGTTAGACCTGTAAACAGAAGAGGGCATTCAAAACAATCATGCTATTTGGAAGAAAAGCTCCACTCTGAACCAAATTTTAATTTCAGTTCTACGCAATTTCTCCCATTTTTATTTCTTGGGTACATTAAGGGAGGTAAGAAGGTCCTCCTCACATCCTCCCATACAGTCCTGTGTCTGAAGACTCACCTCTTTCTGTCTCCTCACATCCTCCCATACAGTCCTGTGTCTGAAGACTCACCTCTTTCTTCCTCCTCACATCCTCCCATGTAGTCCTGTGTCTGGAGACTCACCTCTTTCTTCCTCCTCATATCCTCCCATGCAGTCCTGTGTCTAGAGACTCACCTCTTTTTTCCTCCTTACATCCTCCCATGAGTTGTCTCCCACACTGTTCACATGGGGGCAATGGCTGACCTTGACCCTCTGTGACATGCTGATGACCTTGGGATGACCTTGGAAGGTTACAACAAACTAGTAGATATATCTGCAAGGAATGAGTAACATGATTAAATATATTAAAACATTGATTTATCACTAGAAATGAAGGGAGATTGATTGTGAAAGATTGTCTGTAATATGCATATCATGAAAGTATATAATATTTTAAGACTGACAATTCACTTGATAAAATCAAAATTCATTGAGCAGTAAGGCCTTTGTCACATCAAGGGATATACTTTACTGTGTCTGTCTGTAGCACACTCCTAAAATGTAATTTGGCAACAGGAGGCTTTATTTGCTCTCATGTTTTATTGTAGCTATAAATAACCTTTGGCAACTTTTTTGCAAAATGGTTTAAATTTCATTAAAACAAGTCAAATTAACCCTATTTTGTTTAGCCAATTTAAGTTAGATTTAGCATTTGGCTAAAATGGCAAGTGTAAGCACCACCCCAGGTAATGTAAAGTGTTTATATATGTCAAGGTAATAATGTAACAGAACATACAGAGGACACAGCACTGTCCGACCTGGCTTCTTTCATGGCATATCTTTTGCCTCAAAGAACTTACTTTCATGTATTCCGTTTACAGTTCGAGGTAGAAACAATAATTTGAATTAAAAACTGGATAACATGTAGTAACAAGGCACTGTTATAATTAGTATCATGGATATACCTTTCCATACTGCCAAGCGAAAAGGTATATCTATGAATAGCTGCAAAGCTAATGTTAAAATTTAAATTGTAATCAACTTTAAATAATATTTATTGTATTATATTGTTTATAGAAACAGTAAACAATCCAGATAAAATTAAATTAGGCCACAATAGGTGCAGAGTACAAGCTACATATGATTGTTAAATAGGATGATAATGCAGTTATATAACCCTAGAGTAAGATCCTTATCTGATTAGAAGCCTGTTGTTTTGTCTATTAGTTATCCTTCCCATCTTTATATAAGACCAATTGTACTGATGTCTGCCTTTTAATTCAGCCTGGCCATAACTGAAAGTATACTTGTGAAGTCTTATGCTTATATGCATAATTTTTGGTTAATTAAAACACTGACATAATAGAATTCTGCTAATATTTTAAAATGATTATGTAAATTATCAGGATAGAGACTTAACCTCTAACTAAGAAGCTGCAAGTCCCACACTTTTACCAATTGAGTAAAATGACAGCTGCATAGCATAGAATGAATGACTTGAGCCATGGACCTAATGAGAGAAGGACGAGTAACGCGGCATCTTCCTTTGAAGCTATGTGCGTTCGGGTAAACATTCGCCCATTGTCTCAGATAAGCTGTTTTGATAGCTCCACGGGAGCCTGAACAACTTATTATCAAGGTAGCGCGCGCTGTGCCTCATTAAAATCCTTTTGTTCTGTTGCATGGATAACGCAATTTCTCGCGGTCCCTCGTGGTTGCTATGACACAGCATTGCCTCCATCTTGTAATTGCTAGCACATACACCCCATTTCCATAGATTAGATCGACCTACTTTAGATCGACCTAACTCCCTGGGGGTTCACGCTAAATAGCTGTCAGCCGGGCGGACACGAAAGTTAATTATCCCCTTACAGCTTGTAGTAGGCGGGACGGACATTTAAGTCGGATTATCTTAAAGTAATCTAGTGAAGCTCCCCGGGGGGATAGATCGATCTAAAATCTCTTGGAATAGAGCCATAGACTTGCGTCAACAAGTGGAAATTTGTTTCGGGTTTTCAGTTTCTTTTTCCTTTTACCTAATTAAAACGGGCTCTGGCCTTTGTCTATACTTGTTATCGTTTCCAAGATTGTATTGATATAATAATAATAATAAGTTTATTGAGCACTAAATGATGTGAATACATTTGCAGGCTCTCTAGACTACAGTACAATATTTACACAATATATATATGGATATACAATTATATATGTTTACATATGTAGTATGTTAAATTATACATGTGTTAATGTAAATTATGCTATAATTTTAATTAATTAAGCTATTCACAGCATTGTTGACAATAAGTGGCTGTGATATACTAGATCTCAGTCGAACTGATATATAACTGGTTTAAAAGCATGTTGACTAATAAAGCCAGGTAGGTGCTATCCAAACGTATCTGATAACAAGATAATGTAATGTAGCAAGCCAATTACAGAGGTGAGTTGTGATCAAGATCCACCTTTATGACCATTACCCAAGTAAATATATTCACGTAGTTTGCATGTGTACATGTCCACATTTATACTTGAATTAAAAGACCAATGAGGGTGTTTGTCAATCGTCTCTTTGCTGTATAGGGACTCCAATTTAAAGATGAAAAACTATTAATTTTCATTCTCAAAGTGGAGCAGACTGTAGCCGGTAATGTGTAAATATATATATACTTCAGAGCAGTGTTAATATCAACTTTGATAAAAGAATATTAAAAGGCCCACAAGTGCGTTTTTGTGCGTAACGAATGCGTGTGTGGTGCCATATTGCAACGAGAGCCCATATTGAAAGTTAAAAAAATAATAATTATCATTCTCAGAATGGAGCAGATCGTGNCACAGGGTCTGGGGTGAATGTCCCATGGGGAGACAGAATACTCCTTTCTCGCATGCTGGGGAGATGAGATAATAATGTTGCTACTGGTGAGATATTTCTTTTTTTCCAAAATATTTTTTGAAACAAATTAATGAAAATTGCTAAAAACAATAATAAGTATTTAACATTTTACAAGCAGCAAAAGCAAACTGAACAAGACCACAAACACATTAAATGTGAAGCCTTTAATCCCCCTTCTCGCCTCCAGAGTTAATTATTTGAGTCTTACACAAAGGCAGGTTTATTTCCATCCTTGTAGACCTCACACTCACACCTATAACACCATATTCTCATGGTGTTCAGGTTGATGGCCAAGCAGTGTTTGTCTACCTGAAATAACACAGGATATATGGGACATCAGGCTTAATAAATTAATTTTTAAAAACATGTATTTTAGCCTTTTTTTAGGGCTATTTAAACATTAAAATCTGATTTGATTTGAAAAATTACGTTTAATGCTATCATACGTTACACCTAAATTCATTACATGCAGAAATGTCATAAATGTGAGAATTTGAAAAAAATTAGACTTAATAAATTAAATCAAATGTAATACTAAAAATTCCAGATAAATCTTTGTTGATAAAAAGTGTGAAGATATATCATTACGTTTTTAAATATCTTTTAACTGATCTTATGATTTAGTCCTAAGATGGAAGACTTCAGTCTGACATTACAAGTGGAACATTTCCCGTTCTTGAGATAATGAGAAAATTAAAACTAATACAGAATCTTAACTTAAAGGATGCAGACGAAATTCTTTTGTAGCCCAAAAGAGTCCTTTACGACATCTTTTAGGATGTATGACAAAATTCCTTTGGAGCCCCATAGAGTCCTATAGACATCCTATATGAAAATTGGGTGAGAGCAATTCCCTCTGTATTCGCAGTAGACTGTCTGCTAGGGTAGGGAGAAGCAATTTCCGTCAATGAGATTGAACTAAATGTATTAATCTAAAAAATCAACAACTTTCTATTGAAGTACCCTACCTCTGCGTGCGACGAGCTGTGGTCCACTCCAGACTCTCCGCAGCCTACGAACATACACCGCGAATGTAGACACAGCCACAGGTTAGGACCACCTGCATTACACGAGTCACAGATATCTGCCCTCTGAAATCACAAACCAAGTGTCAATGACATGGAGTTCTTTGAAATCACAAACCAAGTGTCAATGCCATACCCTGAGTGTCAGGGCACTGTAAAGCCAGCTTGCTCACTATACCTTTTCATGTGTTGGCTTTACTGTATTCTATATGGATTCTACATGAAACCAAGATTGAGCTGGCAATACAGAAATCTAGAACCTAGGGTACAAAGACATCTATTCTGTGAAATCACAAACCAAGTGTTATTGACATCAAATTCTCTGTTCACAACCGAAGTGTCACTGACACAGAATTCTCTGAAATCACAAAATAGGTGACAAAGACACAGAAATCTATGAAAACACAAACCAAGTTTTGTAGACATGGAATTCTCTTATTATCATGTCCAAAAATAAAAGCATGTCAATATTTATTCAAAAACTCTGACACTCACCTTGAAACTGGTTTAAAGCAAAGAAAACTGAAACGCTACTGTATATGTCAAGCCTTCAGAACGATATGAAGAAAGAGGCATTCTGCCAAATGAAATGACACCATTCAAAACTTACCTAGATTGGGTGAAGAACTAATCTCTTTAACACCTTTTAAAAACATCAAAATAATGCACCTATCAAATGAATTCCAGCAGAGATATTTTCAAACGCTAGACAAAACCCTGCGAGGACACACTAATAAGTCATTCAGTCTTGTTGCTATCAAGATGATGGTTCCATAAATTTTTCCAAGAATTCACTGTCACAAGATAATTAACTGGAAGGACACAATATGGTGATTACGGCACCTGACATTTTCCTCTGAATTTGAAATTAACACCTGCTGGAGTTCAGCCAAGCTGCAGGCATATTTGCCATTATTGCTATGAAATGATTGTGGTAAAATATTTCATTTTCACTTGAGACTTTAACCACTATCAAATTGAATGAAACCCGAAGCCCACTTATCTATAGATAGATCCAGTGCAGTAACCGCAGCATTTGGAAGGATTTTATATCATATGCTAGAAAAAAATTATCAAATAATTTTCTTTTTGGACAAGAAGAGATTTTTTTTCAGTTCTTTTGCCTTTTGCTAGGCCTGCAAACAGAAGAGGGCATTCAAAACAATCATGCTATTTGGAAGAAAAGCTCCACTCGGAACCAATTTTTAATCTCGGTTCTACGCAATTTCTCTCATTTCTATTTCTTGGGTACATTAAGGGGTGTAAGAAGGTCCTCCTCACATCCTCTCATACAGTTCTGTGTCTTAAGACTCACCTCTTTCTTCCTCCTCACATCCTCCCATGAGTTGTCGCCCACACTGTTCACATGGGGGCAATGGCTGACCTTGACCCTCTGTGACATGCTGATGACCTTGGGATGACCTTGGAAGGTTACAACAAACTAGTAGATATATCTGCAAGGAATGAGAAACATGATTAAATATACTAAAACATTGATTTATCACTAGAAATGAAGGGAGATTGATTCTGAAAGAAAGTCTGTAGTATGCATATCATGAAAGTATATAATATTTTAAGACTGACAATTCACTTGATAAAATCAAAATTCATTGAGCAGTAAGGCCTTTGTCACATCAAGGGATATACTTTACTGTGTCTGTATGTAGCACACTCCTAAAATGTAATTTGGCAACAGGAGGCTTTATTTGCTCTCATGTTTTATTGTAGCTATAAATAACATTTGGCAACTTTTTTTGCAAAATGGTTTACAAGTCAAATTAACCCTATTTTGTTTAGCCAATTTAAGTTAGATTAAGCATTTGGCTAAAATGGCAAGTGTTAGCACTACCCCAGATAATTTAAAGTGTTTATATACGTCAAGGTAATAACGTAACAGAACATACAGAGGACACAGCACTGACCCACCTGGCTTCTTTCATGGCGTATCTTTTGCCTCAAAGAACTTACTTTCATGTACTCCGTTTACAATTCAAGGTAGAAACAATAATTTGTATTTAAAACTGTATAACATGTAGTAACAAGGCACTGTTATAATAAGTATCATGGATATACCTTTCCATACTGCCAAGCGAAAAGGTATATCTATGAATAGCTGCAAAGCTAATGTTAAAATTTAAATTGTAATCAACTTTAAATAATATTTACTGTATTATATTGTTTATAGAAACAGTAAACAATCCAGATAAAATTAAATTAGGCCACAATAGGTGCAGAGTACAAGCTACATATGATTGTTAAATAGGATGATAATGCAGTTATATAATCCTAGAGTGAGATCCTTATCTGATTAGAAGCCTGTTGTTTTGTCTACTAGTTATCCTTCCCATCTTTATATAAGACCAATTGTACTGATGTCTGCCTTTTAAACCAGCCTGGCCATAACTGAAAGTATACTTGTGAAGTCTTATGCTTATACGTATACTTGTGAAGTCTTATGCTTATATGCGTAATTTTTGGTTCATTCAAACACTGACATATTAGAATTCTGCTAATATTTTAAAATGATTATGTAAATTATCAGGATAGAGACTTAACCTCTAACTAAGAAGCTGCAAGTCCCACACTTTTACCAATTGAGTACAATGACAGCTGCATAGCGTAGAATGAATGACTTGAGCATATGGTGTTAATTCCTGAAAATGCTCCTTTTTGATGAATAGCCCTCACTGAACTTGACAATAGTTCCTAATTGTCAAAACATTTTTATCAATGAATGTCTATGACATGCAAGGATTACCATGGCTATTTACAAACAAATGTACACCATGGCTTTAGAATGCACTTTTAGTAGAATTTTAAATATGATTAATATGCCAGGCAGCAATTTTAAAGGGGGGATCTTTTTTTTTTTTGAAAAAAGTGGACAATTTCTAGGAGAAATTTTGCCAAGAACAGACTTTTTCATGACAAAATATCCCTAAACCTCCCTAGCTACTAGCCTGTAGGCCATGTCATAATGTGTCTTTTTTGACTGACTAAAAGCAAGAAAGGTTTTTATCTGCATTTGAGTTGAGGAGATGAGAGGTAACATTTGAGAGCTCCTGCAGCATGGCTGGTCTGGCAACTGGTCCACATTACAAACTTTCAAAGACCTTTGCTTTAGCACAGCCAGTACATATCAGAATCGTCAATAGGAGTGCTAACGCATGGATTTTCGTGCTAGGAGGAACCTAAATTACATCAGTAAATTTCCAAATTTCAGTAAGGTTACACTTGCTATATCACAAGAATTTTGCAGAACTCAGTTCCATCAAATATCTTGCCAAAATAAAATAAACAAAAAATTCATTTTTACCACACTCAAAAGATTCAATACACTGACAAATATTGAATATGAAAACATTTCGCCGCATTGATTTCTTTGAACAATCAAAGTCTGCTGTGAAGTAAAGCGAAAAATCGCTGACGGGGGCGCCGTTTCTACTGCAAGTAAATTGTCTACACAACTGCTTAAAATACCAAGGAGCCAGAAGAAAAGCGTCATGATTACCACATATAAATTAATCTCTTTGACTACGTAATCACCTACCAATCAATTGCTGTTTTACACTTCAGTCACTTTACTTTGTCGCTCATTTTTTCAAGCGGAAACGCAATGACTTGTGGGACAGATATAATTGTAATCCCGGAGAAATAGAGGTAATTTTTAGTAGTTCAGTCTCTCGATGAAAATGCATTTTCTTTAATAATTTTTGGGTGCTCAAACAATATCGCAAGACTTGAGTAACATATGAACAAATAGGCAAAGAAAAGAGTGGGCGCTCTGACAGACGCTGACTGAGTAGGCACAGAGCTTCGTGCGTTTTTCTTGCAATCTGGAGCACATTTTCCCACTGCCTCTGGTCGCACGGTCGTGTTTCTGTCCGCAGGAAGCTATAGAAGAAAACATTCTGGAGGCGCACGCTTGTGTTGCCAGTGTAGCACAAGACTTGCCATCGAAGGCTGAGATGGAATAATCACTAAAACTGCAAGTTGTTTCATCTTACGAAATAGCACTGTCACCAATGAGACAGCTCTGCTGTCTGAATGAAAAAAAAAAAAAATTGTACAGTACATTACGGGATCTGCTTTTGCAGAACTGAATTTCTTAGTGTAGAGTGAAATTTTCTGACATAAATGTTGAAACTTCAAGTAAACTGTCCACTTCTTTTTTTAAACTGATTGAATTTTTGCAAATTAAATTATTGCTGTTATATATGTAGTTAATTTGTATATTTGGGGTTGCAAAATAAATTGAATTTACTATGAATTTAGAAGTATTGATTGAGATATTTTGCTGAATTAAAAAAAAAACGGACATGGTAACTCTACTTATTTGCAAAATTAAGTGGGGGAAATTTAAAAAAGAAAGAAAAAAAAACATCAAACAGATTGTGCATGCATGGATGTCAACAAAAATGTAATAATGGTAATATATCTTGAAATTAGTTATGTTGAAAATTGTAATAGAATTTGTACTTTAAATTAATGGAGATGGCAATGTACGTTGAAACAATTTGACATTTTCTTGTACCAAACCTCCCGACGGTCACGTGTGTATGGCTTAGTATTGAGAACATAATTTAAAAGGAGCATTTTAGGCCCAAGGGTAAGAAAATGAAAATTAACAATTTTGCGTAAAGGAACTGTCATTTTAAACCTCCCCCCCCCCCCCCCCCGCCCCTTAGTGAACACAACGTCGTCAAGTACAGTATGTGTTGGCCAGTTTGCAGATTCTTATCAATGGGCGTGATTTAGGAAGAGATAAAATATTTTCTCACGAGTTGATCTCTATAACCTGTAAACCTATGAAAGGAAGTGAAAAAAATACACGTGATCACATGTTAGCGCCTGTCAGAGTAAACCAACAGAGATCGTAACAGTACCGCGCGATCTGAAATATACGTATTAATTTTATGCAGAAAAAGGTTTATAACCCCGATATTAAATGTTCATCCTTCACTTGCTCGCCTTTTCGCACACCTCTGATATTTCAGCTCTCCCACCCTTTGCCTAAAAAGTACAGAGACATAAATCACCGGTGTAAATAAAGGTGATTTGTTATCAATTTGTTTTGAACTCCACTATGCCGGCGAACGTGAATTCCCACTAGGAATTCCCTCTTCACTATTTGCCGTAAGGTGGCACTGTTGTTCGCGCCACTAACCAATAGAAAAACACCAACGTGACGTCATTGTTTTGATCCAAATATAGCTCGAACAGAGATTCCATGTTGGTGGTGCAATGCCAAAAGTCGATAACAACAGTATATAAACGTCGATGATATCAGTATCAGTTCGGTAATTTGCTGCTGCAGCAATATTGACAAGACGCACGGGATCAAAACAGATTTGAAAACTGGCTTTGTCATTTTGTCTGTTTCTCGAAAACACCGAGAGTAAAAACGAAGTAATGGGGGAATCCCAAGAGGAGATTGGAGAGCAAAGCTCAAACTCTACAGTTACTCACGCTATTCAAACCAAAAAAACTTGTCAAACAGTTATGCTGCGGTCTAAACCAGCAATAAGAGTGTCCACCAAAGAAGTAACTTGTTTAAAAACTGTGCATTTCAGAAAAAATATTCACAGGAGTGATTTGGTGAGAGAGAATCCGAAGACTGACGTCAAGACTGGCTCAGTAATCTCGGAAAAACAAAATGGCAAAAAATTAAAGGATAGTGACTCAGGAAAAGACAAGAAAAGAAAATGGAAACGTGTACCAGAACTGACGAGCTTTTACTTGCCTCCAATATCATCTCAGGAAGATGAACAATTAACGGAAAGGTCTGACGACTTCAACGTTTTTGACGTAGATGAGTATTTTGGGTTTGCTGACTTTCCTTGTGTAAAGCAGACATTCACTGATTTGTGTGACAAATTTGAAGGTAAGGGTGGTGATAAAACCCTCAGGGCAACCAAGAAGAATAAGGTCCGCAAGGCCCATAAACAAGTAAAAGACAAATACTGCACTTCCCTTCAAAATAACAATGGCAAGGAACTATTTGTGCACCACAGAGTATACAAAGCAATGAAAACTCTACCCAGAAAGGAAAATTACTTGCCCACAAAAAGAGTCACTTTTGCTGATGAGGCATCAGCTCAAAATGGACAAGACACAAAGAATAGGAAAGCAAACAGTGAGGATGTATGGGAAAAAGCACCCAAAGAGTCCAAAGTGGAGAACCACAGGTTTGCCCTCAACAAGTCAAACGTCCCTTCAGACATTAGGTCTCTAGGAATAGCAGACATTCTTCTGAGTTTGCAAGAGAGGGAGCTGACACCCGAGGATTACGAATTGCTACTTCAACTCGATGAACGAGTTGCACCAAAAACAATCTCCACTTCTAAACTGAATAGATTAAAAACAGACACTGCAACAGAGGCTCATCTGGGCCTGGTTTGTGCAGTGTGCCTGGAGCACTATACTTCAGGCCAGAGAAGAAAGTTTCTTCCATGCAGTCATGTATTTCATGAAGCTTGTATTGACATGTGGCTGAGTAACTCTTCCCAGTGCTGCCCTCTAGATGGATTGCCAATATCTTGACAACTAAAGACTGTGGCAGGAGCCTAGCCTAAGGCTTATTTTTGAATATAATTTTTTTTTTACTTGGAAGTACCATTTCTCAAAGCATTTGGCCAAACAAGTTCTGTTGCTTAAAAAGTTTTTTTTAAGTATGTGGTAAAGAGGGATTAACTTCATTTAAATTTTGTGCTAGCTACAGTTATTGCGACCAGCTTTTATTATTATTAATTTCAGGTTTTTTAAATAATACCACACTAGACTCATTAACATTTTCTGTGAAGCAGCAGTGCCTTAGTTTGTTTTAATGAATGCAAATTTTTATGTCATTGCACTTTTCAATTTACTAGTTATGTCATTTAAAGAAAATATCGATCTGTCAGTTAAACTGAATAAAAACTGTGATAATCAATTATTATGTTTGTAGTTCCGAGTTACTGAACTGTGCATTGGGCATCAGGTCTGGACAACCACAAATGTTTTTGTGTTATAAGAACAGCAGAAGACCTGGCAAATGCTCGAGTAACTTGTACAGTTGCTTTGTGCATCAAATATATATATATATATATATATATATATATATATATATATATTTGATTCACTAGTTTTTACTGGTAGAGAGGTCTTTTTAAAAAGTACGAACAAATCTGCCATTTCAAGTCATTTATTTTGGTGTTTTATGACAATTTTAATTAAGAAACTGTGAAATTTAATTAGCAATTCTTACAATGTGTTCTGCAAACAAGTTCCATTATCTGGAAGGAATGAAATACTAATTTACTTCAGACTAATCGTACACAAAAAGAAATTAAGAAAAAGATATATGCTAATGTCTTTCACTTACATGGCTGTATACAATAAATTTGAATACTGATAATTTGAATATTCTTATCACAGAAAATATAAAAGAGTAAGGATTTGGGAATAATATATCATTTAGACAAAACATAAAAGCATTATAAAATGATAGTCTGTGATCACTTGTGAGAAATTAATAAACAATAAAATATATACTTAAAATTATAAATATTTTTACCTAAGAAATTATTGGATTTAAGATCATTTCTCTTTACACTTGTTCATTTGCTCCTGATACAAGTAATAATAATAATAATAATAATAATGATTTTTTGACAACTCTGGGCACAAAATATGCAACATATCAAATATTGCCCGCTTTGTTTAAGGCAATACTGTCATACAAGCATTATTTCATGACCAAGTGTGGACAAAGTTTGGACACAGGAGTGACCCCCCAGTTGACCCCTCATCTGACCCTATGAAGGACATGATCTAGTTAATTATCTCTGCAGCCAACTCCATGAGTTTGGGAAACCTGAAAGTTCTCTTTTTCCATGTATCTGGGATGCCTTCTACTCCAATCTGAAAAACAAGAGAGAAGTTTATGAGTCATTCTTACAGGGACTTGCGATGTTATCAAATTGATTTTAAAAATGTTGCTAATGATTCTTGTGTACATTTTTTAGGCACTTGCTAATGCTTGTGTACATCTGCTCCACTGAATCCTCTTTTATAAGATCATATTTGTATTCTTGCACTTGTCTGGGGTAATTTTAATTCTTGTATTCCACAAGTAGAAAATGCATTTTAAACAGGCAGGCAGTGGCATGTACATGGTTTATTTATATTAAAAACAATTTATCTGCTCATGTGTGTCAAACCTTGCCAGTGGGAAAAAAAGAAATTCCACAGTGCAACAAAACTAGAGTTGAAATAAGAATTTCTTATACTTTAATGTCATACTTTATTTTTTTACCTGTGCACCAAAGCAAGCTCCTAGAAAAGAGTTTCGGGAGCAGCAGCAGCCCCCAGTACGCAGTGTCTTCCTGATGGCGGAGACGTAGCCGTCACTGGTGATAAGGGCGTGCACAGCTGTTTGGAAGGCACCCGGCAAGACTGGGAAAAGTGAACATTAACATCTTTGTTATGATCATTCCTTTACTGACCATGTGGAATTTTGTCTATTAGAAAAACGTTTAGATTTCAATTAAATTTTTTGCTTGTTGTTGAATGAACAAAATTGTTCAAAGGTCAACTTGCAATTACAAAATAAATACTTTCAGAAATAAATAAATAAATAGTACTACCAGATAAGCGATGTATTTGACAATTTATTCCAGGAGTATGGAAAATGCAGCTTTATTTTTTCCCTAGTATTCTGCTCATAAGAAAATATTCTTAAAATCATTTCAAATTTGACTCTTAGTTTTTACCTCAGTCAAACCTGAAAATGTTCCTAGCCACCTCTTGGTGTGGTGTGTTCTTTTTCTCCAGCACCTCCCTAAGAAAAGTGACCACTGCTCTATCCAGGTCCTGGGGGTTGTTTCTGTGAGTATCTTCTAACTGTCCCATGGCAGCCCTGACAGCCTCCTCCCCTGGGGCTGGGCCATTCAGGATGAAATACTCTATAATTCTGTAATGACAGGATGAAATATGTGTTATAAATAATTATTATGTATTTCACTGGGGATTAAAATAATAATAATAATAATAATAATAATAATAATAA